TCCCAATTACTTCTCTCCATTGACTGTGTACAGAAGCAGGCTGTCATCCCAGGTAATGGGTGATCTGAATCACACCCCATTTCCAAACTTAACGTGCCACAGGGTCAGGTCACTCTGGGAATGGAGTCTGAGGCAGCTCTGTCATGGGATCCCACTGTAAATGCTGACATCACAACAGTTGGTACCACCTGCTCACATGGAGTTTACAAGAAAGCAAGGATACTCATGCATAGCACTCATAGCTGACTTATTAGCATCTCAAAAAAGGGAAGTCTGTGAACTGCTGACAGAACAGGGAATACCACTTCTCTCCCAGGCCTCCCTCCATTTCACCTCAGATCATACTCAGCTGTGATCACCATTGAGAAGTGATGGGAATATGAGTTATTCACCCTTTTGGATGAGCAAGTCTGCAGCTATCATGTTAAAGAATAATTTTCTAACAGAAAGTATTAGGATAAAAAAATAATTAAGGCTAGAGGTATATTAGTGCTTCCATGTTCCAAAAGCCAGTATAAAGACCCAAAAGACTCTCACATGAGTAAATTATTACTTTTATACTCAGCTGCTATGTAACCTGGCTGGACATTATTAGAAAAGCAGAGTTCTCACAGCTACTACCAAATTCCATACCATACCAGCTAAATTTAAATACAGAACACTGATTCATAGTTCTACCCTTCCTGCAATTACTGTATTTGTGTGATATTTACACTTAAGGTTTCTTTTATGCCAATTTCAAACAACCTGTGAAAAAATGAAACATTTCTTATTTTTCCCACATTAAGCCAACTAAGGGGATTAAACAAAAAGAAAAAAAAAAGAGAAAGATACTCACTGCATTCATAGATCTGCTCTAATTTGTCCACAGAAGAAAGAGAGAAGAATTTGTAGCCTGATTTACTGCCAACAGCAAGGGACCTGCAAAAGAAACAAGCCAGTCAGGAACATCACCTCCATCAGCTGTGATTACCCTTGGAGAGATTCTTACCCAGTTCTAAACCTCCAGCTGGGTTAGCTCAGTAAGGAAAGTCATAAAAAGTTTCAAAAGTCAAAAAAAGCCGTAACAGACACAGACAGCTTCCTCAATTCTGAACAGACCAAACAGCTTCAGAATTACAGAATTTGGGTGGGGAATTCTGCTTCACATTTATGAAATGAGAGTTCACAGCCTAAAGTAAACCTACTGCCCAATTCTCACCGGTGATTTCTTCACACAGCTAAAAGCTTTGGTGTGGAGGGAAGATGATGACTTGAATAATGTAATGCAAACCAATTACATCATTGCCTCATCATTAGAGGTGACCTCCAGGACCTTTTAAACTGGGCTGTCTGGGGATTTTTGTTCTTTACAGTATAACCGTCCCCAAGCATCCCAGAAGAGTTTTCATATTAAAAAAAAAGTAATTAAAGACTGCCAACTCTAATTTTCTCTGGCTTTACGTGATGATGTTCTAGCACCCCCACTGTCAGCTCTCAGTCTTACAAATGCTCATACTGAATCTTTGATCAGAGGCACCCTCTAAAAACTGCTAGGGACTGATGTTAAACAGATTGAACAATAGCTGAACATTAAAAAACTGACTAAAACCCCTTCTTTCCTCCATTACTCAATTTTCACACTTAGCTCACAGACCATTTAATTGCTTTTCCAGACAGAGTCAAAGGCAGGTCTTAAATTTTAAGCTAGAAAAACCTTTAGCCTGTCTTGCAGGTCTTTACACATAAAGGCAGCAGACAATGGCTCATTCTTGTTTTCCCTCCCCATCTGGAGGATGATTTTATGCCACAGATAAAGAAAATTAACAGTCAATACAGTTTTACAGAAGTGCATTAGTATGCTTATAGTTCATATATTTCTTACTGCCAAGAGACATGAAGGAAAATTCCAATAAAATACATTTTGATACCCTAAATTGTGGCAAGTCATTCAACACAGGGCTCCAATCCAACCGTGCCAGTCAGCCTGCCAAAAATGCCTTTTTGAACCCAGCAAGATGATTCTCTACAGTTCAGCTGTACTAACAATTAATACTGCATTTGGAATACAATGAGGATTCCTAGATTTCATGTTCTTTCTGTATTTTCACTTCTGGCTCCAAAGTGAGTATTTTTTACATTTCAGCATACCCAGAAAATTAAAAATTGCTCCTCTGAAATTAAGCTACAAAATCAACTTCTACAAAATCAACTTCTGTAGGATGGTATGACCTTCTCTTCTAGAAGAAAATACAACTGGCACAATCTGGTTAGGAAATAATGTTTGAGAAGGTTTAAACCTTCAAATTAAAACATGAACCATGCAAGAGATTCAATTCCACAGATTCATAACCAAGTTATTAAAAAAGCATATTAGGCTTAAAGATAGAGAAGCAATCATAAAACAAAATTTTGTTGCTGCTCCTCTAAGTCACCCCAGAAATACTGAATTTAATTTTCCTTCAGACAAAATCAGTACGTTCAGCAGTCTCCATCTGATTAATCACCAAAGACACTTCAGTGGCGCTCAACTACTTTTGTACAACTCAACAAAAACTCACATTAAGTGGAAAAACCCCTGAAACTCTAATTTGGTAAAACAAAGCAATGAGTCAGCTTTTCTTATATCATCTACTGTTTTCCTCAAAAGAAAGTTTAGCAAAGAATGGCATTAAAACTGTCCCTTTGCAAAGGTAAACAAGCACTCCACAGAGTTAAAAATAAGCGGAGTCACAAGACTCCTTGCAATATAAACAATCCACAAAACACACAGGATGATTTCCTCACAGAGAACCCCACCAGCACCTATTTGTATTTCTAGGCAGAACTGATTCCTGAATTGTACTTACAGCTTTAAATACAGAACACTGCTGAATCACTGTTTTACTGACAGGATCTCTGAAAGCAGCAGGAAGCTCATTTTTCTTGTCCTATGACTATACCTCATTCAAATAAGCTGCAGACAATGGCAAACATGAATTGTGTACATGATAAAAATCATTAGACTGAGTAGAACCCAAAATGCAGAAGCACAGAATGGACCTTTCCATCCATGACAACTGCTTTTTGTTATTTATTTCAGGATCGAGGTGATGAAGTCAAATTATTTGTTTACATAGAGCAGTTCAAGTCAAGATAATTAAACCCATTTCAGTGTACAAGTGTAACTGCAAAATAACCCCCTTTTCTTCTGGAACAGCAGTCTTGCTTTTGGAGGGTTTGCTTTGTTGGCTTGGGTTTTTTAAAAATGTATTCTTAAATTACTTCTTATGAAACTACTGGAAAAAGGCTTTTTATATGTAATAAGAACCCACTAGGCTGAATTATACCAGCATAATCACAGTGATTTAAATCTCCCATCTTCCCCTGTACTGATATTACACTTAAGCCCTTAAGACACCCACAGCCATCTAAATGGCCAAATCCACAAAACAAGGACCTAGCCAGAATTACCTCACCTCTGCAAAAATGTGCAAGCATATGGGGAAGAAATATGATCAATAAGCCATTCAGCCCTTGCTCAGATAGACAGTGGCCAACAAGAAGCTGCTGTGGTTTATCAGAAGCTCCTTTTACAGCATAGGTGTTATGCTTTATAACCACTGATTTTCAGAAGCTGTTGAGAGACTGAAATTGAAAATAAAATAAATATTCTCTAAAATGGCTTTTTTTTCCCTAACATTATGTTATGCACATGTGGGTTTTAGCTCTATTATGTGCAGCCTCTATTACACATTTTAGACTGCAGACTCTGAGCTATTTCATTGTGAAGGTTGTCTCCTCAGTACAAAATTATCAATATGGCCATGATTTATGGAACTGTGTTTATCCACTTTTTGCAGAGATAATGCTGCAGACTGATCCAATACTACATAAATCTTGATAGTATTTTCAAGAGTGACTACCATAAATAATTAAAACTATCCTCATCAAGCAAACAGTGCTGGGAGATTTCACACATTCATTGGGAGATGCTGACACTCGCTCTAAGTGCACTCACCTAAAGTGGGAAATCAGCTGCTTCAGTCTCTCTGGCTCTTTAGGAACAAGTTTTTTCAGCTGGGTTAGAATCCTAAGGTTTTCTTTTGTTTCTTTAATATACACATAGAAGGAAGAAAACCAGTTTTCCCCTTTCCATATCACAGAGGGCCTTAACTATTAATCAGAAATATTCTACATTAATCAGAAAGTTCCTAACAAGGGCAGCTCTCTCAAAGATTAAATCAATTGCAGCTGCAGCATAAACATGACTCTAAAAGTCATTACTGCTTTAAATAACTGGTTAATTAAGCCTACTTTCATTATGATACAGTCTCATTATACTAATGTTCCATCTCATTTCAAAACCAATGTAAATTTCCACAGACAAAACATTTTGGCTTATGATGAGGAGAGGGAAAATAATAACAACAATAATAATGAAAGAAAAATCAATGAAGACATAAGAATTGCTAAGGAATTACTAAGGAAATGTACCTTGCTTTATTTTCCCCTCCAAAATATCTGCTGTAACATCTAATGGACATGTCGTAATATCAAAGGTCATGATTTTGGAAAAGAGATACAGAACTTCATATATTCAATGTTTTTGTCAGCAACATTCTGACAACCCACAGGAGATTTTCCCATTATTCTTGTATTAAAAGAAAACTCAAATCTGCTACAGCAAAAGGAGACCAGGCCTGCTCATCACTTCAAACACAGGCTGGGACAACAGAAAATCCACAATCCAAATAAATATCACTGTTCTTGGGCCAAATCCCCATCCAAATGGTCACACACTGAGAACTGCTCCTCTGACCAGCCCCCCTCAGCTGCTGTGCCCTCTGCAACAACAGCAAGAAACACAACATACGGTTGTCTCTCTCAGCTATCCTCCCTGAGTGTAGGAGCTACGGGACCGCTCTGTCCTTCCTTTTTTGGGTCTGTGTTTAGCCTTAAAGTCTCCTTGGAATAGAGAGCTCTCCTGTCCTCAAGGATCACGGGTGAAGGACACCTGAACCTAGGAGAAACAAAGGCAGAGGAGTGAATGCTCAGCACCTAACCCTTGTTCCTCCCACCACAAGCAGTTTACTACAGAGATCCAAACATCACAGATTGAGGGAATGAGAATACAACTCCTGGGACACAAAGCATGCCAGGTGCATACAGGGACAGCAGCATTTGCTCACAATGTAGAATGAAATTGATTTATTTGGGAAATAAAGGGCAGAATTAAATTGGAAAGAAGAAATATATGTAGGGATACATGTCATAGAAATCCTTGCCAGTAAGGCACACCAGTGCTTTCCTCAGAAGTGCAAACAGAAGGTTTTCTCTTCCCCTTTCATCAGGAGTCTGCTTTCAAAACTGCAGTGACTACTTTGTTTCCAAACGCTGTCACCCAATTACTTATTTTAAAAAAAGATGACTAAAACTTCTCTATTCTGCTCACTTGCATTATTTCACAAGCAAACTGTTTGGTGGGGTTATTTTTGTGGGTGGGGGAAAGTGGGTGCAAATTGAATCTGAACATCATTTGTAAGCACTTCCAAAGAATACCTGTGCAACAGTTTAAATATTGAAAGTTTTACCTGTTACATAGACACATACAGGCTTTGGGATCTTGAAGTTATGCTTTGCTTAAAAAGTCACAAACTTCTAATCCATTAGCATTTCCCTTATGAGACCTAAAGCTTCTATGAGTCTGTGAGGTGTTTAATTTTTCATAAACTTATCTATGCTCAGTTTTAGCAGATCTCCCAGAAGTAATACAAACTGCACTTGGGTTTTTCTCCCCAAGTATCCACTGTTAAAGATTTCCAGCTGTAAAACCCTCCCAGCACTGAGGCCACCCACAAGCTCCCACTGCCTGGTTTTGCTGGGACACCCGAATTCCGATGGTTGCTCCACTTTGATCTGCAAGCTGGAGCTTCTGCCTCTCAATCAGGGAATGCCAGTCATGCCAAGTTGTGCAATGATTGATTCACTGGGGAAAAGGGCTCAGTCCAAAACAAGCACACTAACATCTTCTGAAAATACCCTTCTCTGTGTTTTTACTTAATGAAAACATTATATCAAAGAGAAGCCACAAACCAACCGCTTCTGCTGCATTATAGGTGAAGTGTTTTCAGGCAGAGTTCCAGTCCCAGCCAGTAATTCAAAACTCTCATGTAAATAAAGCTTAGGGCAATGTGGGATAAACAGGCAAGACAACACTTGCAATCATGCAGATACTATTCCAAGAGACAATGCCACTACACACTGCATCCATGAATGAATATGAGCCAAGTCTGGGAAAACCAAGAGACCAAAAGCAGGATAGAGGATATCTGCTTCAGCCACCAGGGATTGCAACAACTGGGAAAAGCAACACAACTTGTGTGATGACAACATTCTTCTAACTACCAGCAATCCAATTTCCCAACACTGAGAGCCACCATGAAGCTCAGCTTCCTACAGGAGAGAGTACCTAATTACCAAATCTTCATAAAACAAAGAAAAGTTAGCTTGATACTTCTTTTCAGCAGCAACAAGCCCCATCTTCTCCTAACAGAAGGAACTGCCTCTGCTGTGCAGGTAAGCAAGACAGTTAAGCCTGAGTGGAACTGGCACCTTATTAGGGTGAAGGTAAAAGCTTTAAATGCAGTAACAACAATGAGCCCATGTCATTTATTTTCCAGTTTTGTCTGTCAGCAATTTTTCTAATTACTGAAGCACCTTAAAGCATGATGTGAGCTCTACTGACTGGGCAGACATAAACAAAGCTTGTCTTTCATATACTGCCTGAAAGAATATACATTTGTTTACCTTGCCTGTCTGGAGAAGGGCTCCAGTTACCTGTAAAAGTTGAAAACAGGTGAGCTTTCTGAGGCCCAGCATGGGAAAGTGCAAGTCATTCTTAATAAGCTTTTTTCAGCTCTTCTCACCTGCTAAACTGTGATCTCCTAGATATATAGACTATATAGTACATATATTCTATAAGTGTGTGTATATATATATAAATAAATATATATAATATATATGGTATATATACTATAGTATATAGAATATGTAGTGCATGTATTCTATATACTATATATATAGAATATATTTATAGTATACTATAAACTCAGTTGCCTTCTTGTTTCTCCACTCAAGCAATAAACTAGGAGAGATCATGAGTGGGAAACAGCAAAAAAATTAAATAAAGTCGTTTAGAGAATGCACACAACCACTAAATTCTACTCAGTTTAGGAACTTGGATGCAACTTGGTTGTTTGGGCCACTTAGCACATCAGACAAGTGTTTCACTCACAAGCTGTCATAAAGGCATTTGCAAGACTGCTGTTATATTTACTACTTTTCTTGGGAGTTTTATTTAAGACACTGTTAGTAAGAAGAGATTATTCCACATCATCAACCACCTCATTTTATCTCAAATTAAGTGGCCTTCTAAATTAATTTTAGAATTTTAAGAGAAAAATATGAACAGAAGCCTTTTAATATTTCTGTCATTTCTACATCAGATACTTGCATTCACAAATATTAAAAAATGACATAAAAGATTTACTAACCCAAAACATGGAATTGCAAAGATCTATGGGCAGGACTGCCTCACATAAAAGATAAATCAGCAAAATTCTCATCAGCTAATCTCAAGGTGATTTGCATATAAATAATATTTTAAAAATATATAATTTGCCATAATGGATATTAGAATACCAAACACAAAAAAAAAAAAAAAACAAAAACAAAAAAAAAAACCAAAAAAACCACAAAACACAAACCAAACCCAAAAACAGCTATCAAGGAACATTTTTTGGTCATTTACAAAAATGAAATGGGAAAAGTAGTGCAGCAGCACACCCAACTGAGGAATAAAGTCATTAGCCAGGTGTCCCTTTTCTCTTCCTATAAACTCCAGGTTATAAACTCCAGGTTATAAAGGAATCACCTTTATGCTCCTTGAGGAAAGATTTCAAGGTGTACAAGCCAAACCCTAGGTAAGCTTTTGTTGTATTTGTTCTCTTGTTATTTCTGTCTTGGTTTTGTTCTGAAGCCAACCTGCAACTCTTGTTCAAATAAAGTGGGTTTTTCTGGTCACAGCTCAGTGATCTTTAGGTACATAAAGGTCTCCACAAAGCTAAGGTGCAACTGAAAATGCAGAGGTGCCACACTGGAAACAGAGCTGAACCTCAAAAACTTATATATGACCTTCACAAACTGCAGAAGGAACAGGTGACAAATCCCCTAGTTATTATGACTTGGGTTTTTTTCCAGTAATAGGCAAAAAATGAATGGTAGCTGAGCCAAACTTGGGAATGTTTTATATGGACAGGGACAGAGGGGGCTCTATACGGCACCCACAGAAAAAATGTAAAAAGAGTTGCAAAGTCTTTGGCTTGAATCAATATAGGGATAATGATTTACTCACAAATACACAGAGCACTGCTGCTCCCCCCAGCATTCACCACAACTTATTTACTGCCAGAGTCTCCTGCCTCAAACCCACCCAGCCCCAAGTGCTCATCTCTTCACCCCCAACAAAGCCCACAGAAGCAGAGTCTCTCCTGCTGTGGTGTAACTGTGCTGGCAGCCAGCAGAAATCACCTTCTCACCTCCACAACTCCCATATGCTACAGGACCTGCTGAGGGCAGGCGCAGCTCTCCCTCCTGAGGTCAAGATATTGTTGCTTGCAGAAAGAACAAGTCGTTAAAAAAACAAAACCCTCCACCACACACGTGGGCTACACTTTGTGATGCCAACCTGAGATCATTTCCTCTTACTCACTTCCTAAAACAAAACCCCTTTCTCGAGTACAGGCTCTTTCAGTTCTTATTCCCTCCCCAGTTTCACCTCTCAGGTATTGAAGGCAATCAAATCCTTCTTTAAATGAACTTCAGTGCTCCAATCCCAGCTAACAGGAAGTTCCTAAATTAAAAATACTGCTTTATAATACCCCACATAAAAACTAACATGCACTAATTGATCTAAACGTGCTGCAATGATTAAGTAATTTGTGAGACGTGCAGCTGGGGCCATCCCAAGCCCTAGGAAGTGCAGTTTCAAGGATCAGAGAAAGGCCTCTTTTCTAAATCAAAACCAAAAGTAACACGGGCTCATAAAACCACCTCCAAGCCTAAGTCCCACTGCTTCAACACAGCAGGTGGCAATAAAATAACTGTATGAAAAGACAGCTGGGAGGAACTTTTGGATGAAGTCTTGGGAGACTTGGGGCTTCACATCAGGCGCTCCTAGGGCTGAACAGGGAGCAGCAGGAGCGCTCCGTCCGTCCCCTTCCCAGGACAACGAGCGATGTCCCCAAGCATCCAAATTCCCCGGGCCGGGAGCGGCCACCACGGCGAGCCGCGTGTCCCCGCGGCAGGAGCGGCCTGTCTGAGTGCCCGCTGAGGGCACCGGGGGCTGCCCCCGGCGCTTCTCCCCGCGGGGGGACCCAGGGAGCGGCTCCAGCGGCGCTCCCCACACGGGGAAGGGGCGGCACCGGCGAGACCCCAGCACGGTGTGTATATATACACACCGGCTCGGGGCTCCCCCAGGCCGGCTCGGGGCCCCCCAGACCCGCTCGGGGCTCCCCCAGACCCGCTCGGGGCCCCCCAGACCCGCTCGGGGCCCCCCAGACCCGCTCGGGGCCCCCCCGGCCGCTGCCGCTCCCGGGCCGGGCCCCTCAGCCCGCCGCCCTCAGCCTCCCTTACGTGTTGTCCTGGTTGAAGTTGGCGAAGAGCAGATGGCCGCTACCGGCGTCGCCGCTCTGCCCGGCCAAGTTCATGGCGGGACAGCCCTCGCCGCCCCCGTCCGGCGGGGGGAGGACGGGGAAACACCTCGGGAAGGCTGCGCCCCTCAGCCGCGGCCGCCGCGGCCGCCCCGACCCCGCCGGGGGCGGCACCGGCGAGACCCCAGCACGCCCCGCCCGCTGCCAGGCCGGCTCGGGGCTCCCCCAGGCCGGCTCGGGGCCCCCCAGACCCGCTCGGGGCTCCCCAGCCCCGCTCGGGGCCCCCCCGGCCGCTGCCGCTCCCGGGCCGGGCCCCTCAGCCCGCCGCCCTCAGCCTCCCTTACGTGTTGTCCTGGTTGAAGTTGGCGAAGAGCAGATGGCCGCTACCGGCGTCGCCGCTCTGCCCGGCCAAGTTCATGGCGGGACAGCCCTCGCCGCCCCCGTCCGGCGGGGGGAGGACGAGGAAACACCTCGGGAAGGCTGCGCCCCTCAGCCGCGGCCGCCGCGGCCGCCCCGCCGCGCCTGCGCCCTCCCGGCCGCCGTACGGCCGGCGCGCCTGCGCGCGGGCGGCGGCGCGGAGCGGGTGGGGTTGCGAAGCTAAGCAGGGTCCGGCGCGGGCGGCGGTGGATGGGAGACACTGAGCTCAGCGCGGATTCCCGGCGTGTCCCCGATGTGTCCCCGCGGTGTCCCCGCTGTCCCCGGGCTCGGCGCGGCCACCGCGGGGCTGTCACCGAGGCCCCGCGGTCACGCCCCGCGCTCTGCCCGCCCGCCCGTGCCTCTGCAGTTCCGCTTGGTGCCGCGGGATGTCCCCGAGGCTCAGCGGATGAGCGGGCTGGGGCTCCGGGCTTGGGGAAAAGGGAAAAAAAAAGGAAAGTTGGGGCTGTTGGGGCTCTCAGTGTCTGAAGGGGGTCTTGGTCAGGATTTGTAGGAGTAGGGAAAGGAGGAATGGGTTCACATTGGAAGGGAAATAGATACACAGAGGAATTCTTTACTGGGGTGGTGGTGAGATGCTGGAACAGGTTGTGGATGCCCTCCCAGTCGTGGCAGTGTCCAAAGCTGGGCTGAACTGGGCGTCCTGGTCTAGTGGATAACACAAATTGCAGGGGGAAAAAAGGATACAAAAACCAAACCAAGCCAAAATCACACAAAAAAAAAAAAAAAAAAAAAAAACCCAAAAAAACCAAAAAAAAAAAAAAAAAAAAAAAAAAACAAACCCAACAAAACCACAAAAAAACCCAAAAAAACCCCAAAAAACCAGAAAACCCCCCAAAAACCCCAAACCAAACAATAACAAAAACCAAACCAAACAAAAACCCCCCCCCCCAAAAAAAAAACCAAAAAAAACCACCACCAAAAAACCAGAAAACCCCCCCAAAAACCCCAAACCAAACAACAACAAAACCCAAAACAAAACAAAAAAAAAACCCAAAACCAAAAAAACACCCAAAAAACCCAAACCCACAAAAACCCCCAAAACCAACACCAACAAAAAATAAAAAAAACCCCAACAAACAAAAAAAAAATTAAACCAAAACCCTAAAGAATCCAACCAACAACAACAAACCTCACCAAAGGCAAGAACAAACCCCCCCCCAGAACTGAAAAAGCGATTTTTGGAAATGGGATCAGCACCAAGGGATCCAACAAACAAAAAAAAAATTAAACCGAAACCCTAAAGAACCCAACCAACAACAACAAACCCCACCAAAAGCAAGAACAAACCCCCCCCAGAACTGAAAAAGTGATTTTTGGAAATGGGATCAGCATCAAAGGACTAGCACAGAAAAGGGTAAATCTCACAAATATGAGCCACCAGGTGCTGGGTTTGTGCCTCTGGGGCTGTCTGGCTCCAGGGGATTCACGAGTGGGGCTCACAGAGCAGTGTGGAGTGATGGAGCCTCCCCCTCACCAGCCTGCAAGGCACAGAGACCCCTCCAAAAGGCTCAAACCCAAGTGGCCCAGCTCCCTGCTGCCCTGAGAAGGATCAGAGCCCAGCTCCAGGCCCTGCACAGACACCCCAACAATCCCCTCCTGTGCCTGGGAGCAGTGTCCAAACCCTCCTGGAGCCCTGGCAGCCTTGGGGCTGGCACCATTCCCTGGGGAGCCTGGGCAGTGCCCAGCACCCTCCAGGGGAAGAATTTTTTCCTCCTATCCAAACAAAACTTCCCCAGACAGCTGCAGCTGCTCCCTCGGGTCCTGTCACTGGTCACCAGTGAGAAGAGATCAGAACGAAGGAAGAAAACATCCCTGGGCTTCATGAGCCATTCCTCATCTAAAGGAAAACTCTGCAAATTCCACCCTGCTTTGGTGACACTAAAAAAAAAATAAAATCTGCATTCAGGGTACCCCAGAATACTGAAATTTCTCCTTAACACCCTTACAATTTCTCAGATATTTACAAGGTGGGGAGTGCACCAGGAGATGGGACAGCAAAGAAAAACAAGCTGGGCTCGTGGGCAGAGTAACAAGGAGAGCTGCTGTGCAGGGAAGGGACACGTCCCAGCGGGGTACAGGTGCTGTGAAAATCTCCCCATCCCACCCTGGAGCAGCCCCTGTGGTTCTCTGTCTGCCAGGTTTGGATTGCTGGGGCTGGAGCCATTCCCCAGCACGATGCTCGAGGCTTTGGTTGCCATAACAACTGGATTCAGGCTTCAAAAATAGTAACTTATTTTTCATTCAATTTGCCTTTTGCCCTCTGAGATGGATCTATTTTGGGATGGATTGTTTGCTTCAGGTGTCCCTTGGCAGCACCCTCAGCCGTGGGCTGGGGGCTTTGGGGATGGGGGTTATTTTGGTAAATGTGATTTATCATCCTTTCTTCTTCCTCTCCAGGCCCAGAGAGCAGGTACAGCAGGGCACAAGAACCATGACAAAATCTCTGCCACAGCTCTCCCCATCGTTTGGGGAAGGAATTTGAAAAAAAAAACCCTTCCTGGCTGAGTGGCAGAGCGTGGGAGAGTTTTTCAGAGATGATGTCACTCTGCATCTCAGCTTGGACCTGCCACCCTCAGCCAGGCCTTGGCTGTCCCAGATATCCTCCTGAAAATGGGGTTTATTTTGTTGTCCCCCCACCTGCTGGATCCTGCCTGGTCCCCACTGGTGTCTTCCATCCACGGGGGGAATTGTGCAGGAGGGCTGAACCTGCTGCTGGATCCTGGGGTGCTATCCTGGGGGACACCCCACCCTGCAGCTGCACCTGCAGCACCCCTGAGGGACCGAGCTGCTTTTGGAGGGGCTAGCAGAGGGTGCCAGGGTTAATCCTTGCCTTGAATGAAGGGATTCCTTCCTTTTGGTCTGCTTTGGCTTTTGGAAGGGCCGTGTGCTGGATTTCCCGTGGCAATGGCCATACAGCCCTTCTCATCGGGGTGTCCTCAGCTGTCCCCCCCCAGCACTGCCACAGCTCCAGCAAGGACAGGGGCTCTTGGGGTGGCCAAGGCTCTGCTCCTCCCGCTGCTGCTGACCCCTCTCTCTGCTTTCTTGTCCCTCAGCTGCTGGCCTGAGGGTGCCTGCAGTCCCTGGCACAGGATCACACCCATCTGCCCCCGGACAAGCCCCCATCACCTTTTGTGCCCCCTCTCTGAGCTGCCCAAGCTCAGATGTCCCTGGGGATGTCCCCTCCTGTAGGAGCCTACTTGAGTGCTGCAGAGGAGGGAGGGGTGAAGGCTTTACCATGGAGATGGGCTGATTTTGGGGTCCTTAGTGCTTGCCTTGCCTCGTGCTGCTTTGTCCCCCTTCTCCCCAGCAGGGAGGGATGGGGGGTGCTGGAGCTGTGCCCCCTCCCAGGGGCACCACGCAGCGATGGGGCTGAGGCAGAGCCACCCACCCCGGCTGGGACCTCTGGAAAATAATGGGGTAAAAAAATAATTAAAACCGAATAAATAAAAGCAAAGCCAAACAAACCAGCTCCATGGGGATGGCGCTGCCCCGGGGAGGGCAGAGATGCCTCGGGGACCCTCGGGGGGACCCGGCCGTGGGCAGCGGGGCCGGGGGGAGCAGGTGGGGACCGGGGGCAGCGCCTGACTGCCGGCACTCGGCGCTCTCCCCCTCCCCGATGCTTTAATCACATTTTCAATTCAAATCTGCTGCTATTTGATCCCCCGGGGGTGGCAGCGGGGAGGGTGGGGGATATTTTTAGCTGTGCTTAAAGCTGCCGGGGGGCGGAGGGAGATCGCGCAGGTTGCTGTGGCCGGGAAGAGTTGGAAGGGATTCCCCACCACCCCCCTTTCTTTTTTTCCCTCCTCCTCCTCCTCGTTGCACATCCGAGGGCGGCAGCGGGGCTGGCTCCCCCCTCCCGGAGGTCGCCTTTGTTTTGTTCGTGTCGCTTCTCCCGAGCAGCCGAGGGGGCGGGAGGGGGCCGGGGCCGGGCTGGGCTGGGCTGTGCCGTGCCGTGCCGGGCTGGGCTGGGCTGGACCGGCCGCCCCTTCTCCTCGTCGGCCGCCGGAGCTCGCCGAGTCGGTGCCGCTGCCCCGGGCCGGGGCTGAGCAGCCGCCGCTGCCCGGGACCCCCATGGCACCGCCGCGATGTTCGTGTCCCGGCTCCTGGATTTCCAGAAGACGCGCTACGCCAGGTAAAGCGCTCGGTGCGGCGGTCCCCGCTGCTGGCGGAGCCCCCGGACTGCCCCGACCCCTCCCCGGGCTCGGCTGGGCTGGGATGGAGCCCGAAGGGATCTTCGGAAGGTGCCGAGTGCCCCAAAGCACCGGGCAGGTGCGGGCTGGGCTTTCGGCTCTCCGCTCTTCTGCATCCCTACAGGATTCTCAGCATCCCTCGCTGCCTTTCGCTGGGTCTAACTTCACCGCGGCTCTCCCGCGGCAGGATCCTGCCTTCCCCAGGCACTCCCCTAGCTCCGAACCCCCCATGCAGGGACCGATGTGATCCCGGACCCCGGTGAAACCCCTCGGGGAGGGCTCTGCCAGCCCGGCCCCGCCGGCTCAACAGGGTCCCCACGGGGTGCACGGCTGGTGGATCCTTCTCTGCCTCCGTGAAATCCCCGGGGAGGTTTTCCAGCAGCAGCCGGCGCTTGTTTGGAAAGCTGAGGTGCAGCAGGAATCCTCACGGTGTTACCTGTGCCGGGGAAACCTGAGGATTGCTGAGCGCAGGTCGGAGGGCACTCGGCCACACGCGCGGCTGCGGGATCAGATGTGGCCTTTGGGAGGGAGCTGGCAGGTGACACGGGGACAGCACCTGCCCGGGATGAGGCAGGTGGCACCGGGTGCTGCTGGGGGTGCTCAGCCCTGCACCGAGGACAGGCTTTGCTCCCAGCTCCCTGGGGCTGTGTGGGGATGTTTTTCTGCCTGTGTGGGGTCCCACGGGCTGGCACAGCTCCTGAGGGCACTCAGTTCTGTGCTGCCACTTCCAGACTCCCTGTGGTCCTGTTAGGGGTAGATAGCAGAGAAAAACTTGTGTGAAGAGAAGTGGTGGTGGTGTTTCTTGTCTGCTCCAGACAGGATGAGCCCTGAGAGATGTTAGTCTGGGCAGGAGACCATCCTCCGACCCCCTCCAGCCATCAGCTCCTTTCCTTCCTGGTGTCCCATGGGGAAAATCCATGCTTGCACCTCCAAAACCTGCCTGAAAACCTGGCCACTTGCTCAAAGCCCCTTTAAATGCTGTAGCTGCCTCCTGATAACCTTTGCTTGGGGGAGAGGCAGGAGGCACCCAGCAGATCTGCACAATGTGCCTGGTACAGAACCCTGTGAAAATGGAGAATTCAAGACTTTCACACCCCCACCCTGCTGGCGTGCAAACGACAGAGCTGGGGGAAACGGAGCTGAGCAAGCTCTGTACCCTCCAGAACAGGAGGAAAATCATACTTTACCCCATGGCAGGGGTGCAGAGGCTCTTTGGGAACTGGGCAGCAGATCAGGGGCTGCTCCACTGACATCAGCCTCCCCCATCTGCCAACCTGTTGCTTGATTCATCCTGAATCAGCATGCTCCAGCCTCGTGGGGGTCCTGTCTGGAGACAGCTTGCTAAGTGGGATGAGGATTACGGGGAGCCTGGCAGGGATGGTGCCCACATGCAGGGCAGGGGCTGTGGGGCACGGGGAGGGGCAGATCCACAGGGAATGCTCCAGCTCTCACCGTGTGCCAGGGCTGGCTGGGGAGCAGCAGGAGATGGGTGCTCCCTTGGCTTTCACCCCAAGAAAGTCACCAGCACGTGATGCTAACCCAGGGCTTCCTGTATCATCGCAGAGATCCTCTTAGCCCAGTGCTCAAAAATAACAGTGGGATAATCCCCATTCCCCCTCCCTCCATGCACACAAACTCTGCTCTCCATGGAAATGCTCTGCTGGGGCACATCCCAAAAGAAACCCTAAAGCTGCTCCTTCCTTTGTGCCAGGGATGCTCTGAGGTGGGAATTGGGGCGAGCAGAAGCCAGGGGACTCATGGTGGCACTTGTCCTTCAAGGCAGCAGAAGCATCTCAAATCCTGTGTTCAGTTTTCACCACAGGGAAGATGGTGGGGTGCTGGAGCAGGTCCAGAGAAGCATAACGGAGCACAAGTGTGATAAGGAGCAGCTGAGGGAGCTGTGGGGGCTCAGCCTGGAGAAAAGGAGGCTTGGGGGGACATTCTCAGTGACCGCAACTCCCTGGCAGGAGGGAGCAGCCAGGTGGGGGTCAGGCTCTGCTCCCAGGGAACAAAATGGGCTCAAACTGCACCAGGAGAAGTTTAGATTGGATATTAGGAAAGGTTAAAACAGGCTGCCTAGGGAATTGGCTGAATCACCATCCCTGGAAGTTGTCAAAAACACTTGTGGAGGTGGCACCTGGGGAAGGTTTAGGGGTGACCACGGCAGTGCTGGGCTAATGGTCAGCCTCCATCTTAGAGGTCTTGTCCAACCTTAACAATTCCATTATTGCATCTTGCAACATCTTTTCAGAGCATGTGGCCTTGCTTGTGGTGTTCCTTGAAAAAAACCAAAAAATATCAAAGTTTTCCTTGTGGAGGAAAAGCCTGGAACAGGCTTCATTTTTTCACGTCATTTTATCTAATTTTGAGCCAGGACCAAGAAAGGAGGAACTTGGCCATTGATACACCCACCAAAAGGAATAAATAAAACCCAGTGTGGTGATGAAAGACCTGTTGTGTGAGAACAAAGAGATGAAAAGCCGTGATCAATGTGGGAACGTTCTGTGAACTGCCAGGAGAAAACTCAGGGCTGGAGGGGCACCAGGCTGTCTCCAAATCCCTCCTGGCTGGGCTTTGGAGGTGCAGAGCTGGGGCAGAGGGGAAGGAAGCCAAGGGAGAGGCTGTCCCCGTGGTGGAGCAGGGTGCAAGGCAGTGCCATTTGAGCAGGCTGTGGTTATAAATGACCAACTCGGTGGGTTCTGCTCTGCTGTGGGGCCAGGGAGGCTCTGCCATCACTGACACCGTGGGGAAATGGGGTTTCAAAGCTCAGTTGCTGCAAGGCTTTCCCTGTCACTCACAACCCTGACAAGAAATATCCATCTCCTGCCCCACAGGCTGAGTTTAACCACGCCACCAGCACAAAGTGCCAGCAGATGTGCTTCCTCCTGCTTTATCCACCACCACAGGGTTATTCCTCCACTCTTCCTCCCAGCTCACCAAAACAAAATGGTGCTGGGTCCCTCCCAGACCAACAGACCAGAGCAAGCAGCATCTTTGTCAC